CATTCAATAATTCATTCATTTATTCACCAGATAATTACCCACTGTTTTGTGGCAGATGTCATTGCTGCTCCAGACTTTGTTTGGAGACTCCAAAAATGAGAAGACACAATCACAGCTTTCTGTTTTGCTTATAGCCTAGTTGGAGATACTTGAAAAAAAAATTATTGCAATGCAGTGTCAGGGGGAGAGTGTTGGGGGCAGGGGAGGAGGGCATGGGGGGGATAAATAGTTTGGAGACTTGACTTGGGGACACACAATACAGTGTGCAGATGATGTGTTAAAGAACTGTGCACCTACCTGAAACCTGCGTGATTTTGTTAACCAGTGTCACCCAATAAATTCAATAAAAATAAAACAAAAAAAACAAAGCACTGTGACCTGGTTTGTAATAAACAAAACAGTAAAAGAATATGAAGGGGTTTGCAGACAATCCAGGCTGGGGGGGGGGGGGGGAGGAAAAGTGAGTTGGACAGAGTGGGATGGGGCTCCCGGACGTGGGGACCGTGTTAGAGCAGAGAACGGCACATGTAGGGGCCTCGGCAGGATTTGGAACTTAATTCCATAGGAATGAGAGACAAGGGTGGTGTTTACTCAGGTGAGTAATGTGATCATTTTTTGCTTTTACTGCGAGATAATTATACAGACAAAGAGCAGAGAGTGGAGGGCGGACATCCAATGGCCAAGAGCAAGATCCCAAAGGAGGCGGTGGGCTGTGGACGAGGTGCCATCAGAAGCACAAGCGGGTGAGCTTCTGCCTCCAGCTCCTCTGCTCTAGGGGGCGCCCTCTCTCATCGTGCGGCTCCTGTTTTCTGAAACTCTCCAGGCATTGCCTGGAGCAACCAGAACATTTCATTGCACAGAAATGAGAATTCAGTTCTGCTCATAAATGGAAGAAATGGAATGAGCACCTTGTGAGTTCTGTGAGGAGGTACAGTGTCTTCCTTTCTCTATATTCTCCAAACACGGTACAGCACCTGCTATGGAGGAGGAGCTCAAGCCATCGTGGCTGAACGAGACTGGCTCCGAAAGCAATTGGAAGGGTGTATTCGTTTCCTGTGGCTGCTCTAGCAAATTTCCGCAAACTGGGTAGCTTAAAGCAACAGAAAGGTGTGTTCTCACCATCCTGGAAGCTAGGATTCTGAAAGCAAGGTGTCAGCAGGGCCATGCTCCCTCCGAAGGCTGTGGGGAGGCTCCCCCTTGCCTCTTCCAGCTCCTGGGGGTGCCACTGATCCTTACAGAGGCATCACTCCCAGCTCTGCCTCCAGCACCTGCTTCCCTGTGTTTCCGGGTCAAATGTCCCTCTCCTCATAAGGACGCCAGTCATTGGCGCAGGGTCTACCCTAGTACAGCATGACCTCATCTTTACTTGATTACATCTGCAAAACCCAGTTTCCAAACAAGGTCCCATTCATAGGGACTGGGGACCAGGACTTGGACATATCTTTTTGGGAGGAACAATTCAACCCCTACAAAGGGTGTGGCGTGTGCTGTTCTTCCGTCCCTGTCAGTCTGAGCCTTCTCTGGAGGGACTCATTCCACATGGGCAGGGTGTCCCAGAGGCAGCTCCGTGATGTCGGATAATTGTATCACACAGTCAGCATGCTCTTTCAAAACATTAGCATCCATTTCTCAAGTATTTGAGGGCCTACTCTGTGCCCAGCTCTGTTCCAGGACCTGGATACACAGAGATGAATAAGCCAGACCTGGGCTCTGACCTGATCCAATTAAACTTATTTGACTGTGTTTTCAACTTGACGAGACTATAACAAACTGTTGGCAATTACGTGACAGATTTCTTTCCTTTAAGAGGAAAGAAAACGAATCATTCTTTTGCTTAGAGTTAAATAAGACTCATAATTGGGAGAACCTTAGTTCACAGAATTATGCCTTATTTATGAGGGCTTCCGGCAAAAAATGTGAAACCCAGTTTGGAGTGCCCTGCACCTGAGCTCAACAGGGAGACCAGGGCAGCCCCAGTGCTGGAGGCGGGGGGAGGGGGAGGCTGGAGGCGGGGGGAGGGGGAGGCTGGAGGCGGGGCACAGGGAAGTGAGCTGTGTGGGGCTCCTTTCCAAGGACCAGATGCTGGGTGGTCCCGTGTGGCCTCATGTGGACCAGGCCATGCCGGGTCCTCCTCAGTCACCTTGGTGACCCTGGAACCACCACAGTGATGCTCCTCAAGAGCTTGCCCTGGCCCAGGGAGTGTGCTGGGCACCTCAGGAAAGAAAGGCCCTCGCAGGCATTCAGCATCCAGCATCTGAAACTCCTGGGGGTTGGTCTTTGCACCTTCCGACTTGGTGCACCAGTCACCTCCCTCCCTATTGGCTGCGGAGCACTTCCAGGTGCAGAACCAGCGACGAGAAGAGAGGGATTGGCAAATCATGTCTCTGGAGGACTTGTATCAGAACATGTAAAGAACGGTTACAACTTAGTAAAAACAGACAGGCAATCAAGTAAAAAATGTGGACAAAGGACTTGCATAGACATTTCTCCAGCAAAGATAGACAAATGGCCGATAGACACATGAAGATACTCGGTATCATTGGTCATTAGGGAAACGCAAATGAAAACCACCATGAGAGATCATATCACACCTACCAGGATGGCTGTAATTTAAAAATAACAAGTGTGGGGGAGGATGTGCAAAATCCGGACGCCTGCTGGTAAATTCCAAAAGGGTGCAGCCAATTTGGAAAACAGTCTGACAAGTTCCTCAAAAGTTTAACACAGAGACACCATGAGACCCAGCAATTCCACTCCAGGCATATTCCCAAGAGAAACGGAAGCATATACCCACAAAAACTCACCCATGAACGTCCAGAGCAGCAGTACTCATAATATCCAAAAAGGTGTGTCCATCAACTAGTGAACAGATAAATAAAATGCAGGATATCTGCACAGTGGGATAGTATTTGGAAATAAAAAGAATAATGGTTCATGCTAATAATGAAGACATTATGCTGTGTGAAAGACGCCAGCCACAAAGGACCAGATTGCATGGTTCCATTTTTATGAAATATCCCGAAGAGGCAAATCTGTTAGCACAGAGCCGAGTTGAGTGGTTGCCGGGGTGGGGGTGGGGGGAGATGGGAGTGACAGCGAATGGACAGGGCATTGCTTTGAGGCTGATAAAAAGGTTCTGAACCTGATGGTGGTGATGGCTCTAGAGTCCCATGAGCATGCTAACTGGGAGTTTTTTACGGCATGTGAATTAAATCTCGATAAAGCTGTTATATTTTTAAATTTTCTTCCTTCTTTCCTTCTTCCCTCTCCCCTTCCCTCTTTCCTTCCATTCTTTTTTTCTTCCTTCTTTCTGTCAAATGTGTAAGGCTCGGCTGGAATATGTCTAGTTTATGGAATGAAGTATAATTACTGGTTGGGTGATAAGGAAGCAAGCCCAAAGTGAAAAGTTTATTTAATTTGAGGTACTAAAGACAGAGAATATCTGAGGTATAAGCAAATCATTTTAATGACATTTATTCTTTTCCTCATTCAACACATATTTATGGGACATTTATTAAACATTTGAGGCACTGCACTCAATGCTATTTTATGATTTCAAAGCAACACAGAAGTGTATTTTCATGGCACGTACCTGAGACCAAGTTCCCCATGTTTATAACCCGTCTGCCAAGACTACGCCCACCCTCCCGCGCTGACTTGGTCTGTCACGAATTGCTTAAAAAGAGTAAACATGCAATCATATTTGGAAATCCCCTGATATTTACAGAAATGCAAACCACTTAGAAAATCCATAAAATAGTTGTGTCTTGAACAAAAGTTGGTCTGATAGCACCGCTGGGAATCGTAGACCCAAAGGGAGGAGGGGGTGTGGGGAGGCCCACGCTGCCTTTTCGGCTCCTCTCTCCCTCACCAGGGTGAACAGATCGGCTTGGAGGGCTGGAGGCCCCAGGAGAAACGGGTGGGTTATGAATGACTGTCGGGAGACTCAGGTCTACCAGGGTCATTTCAGCACCATTTCTGCTGAGAGCAAACCCAGACCTTCCATCAGTGTGACTGCAGTGTCAACACGCGTGGGGCCCCACCCAGGTCCTGACAGCCCGCGTCTCTTGGGGGTGGGTCAGGGGATGCTTACAATCCCAGCACATAAGCAAACTGGTGGCTGGGTCTGAACTCGGATCTGACATGGATTTCCAAGATCACTTTAAGAGTAAAGAGAGCTGGAACTTTATCATTCAGAACTCTTCAAGGTGAGAAAGAATTCTTTGGGCCTATTCTAACTTCTGCTTCCGTCTTCAGAACGTAATTGGATTGGGTTCTGGAGATGGTGCATATAGACAGGGAAAGTGGCCATTCATCTCTTCGATTTAAGGATCTTCCTTCCCTTTATCTTTGTTATTGGCAGGGCAATCCAATTGTCGTTCTCATCCTCCTGGAATTAGCCACGGAGTAGTAAAATAATCCAGAAAAGGTTGTCTGTATGTAGTCCTCACAGATTTTACTTCTGTGGAACAAAACCATTTAGAGAAAGTAAAATTTTCCTGGGGGAAAGAATATACCTTTAAAACAAAAATTAAAGGGCGGTGGGGGGTGGGGGAGGGGGAACTTTAGCCAAAGAATCTAGCCACTAAAATGCATGCATTCTTTTAGGCACAAAGTTTTTTCTCCATTGAGGGGCTGAATTCTCTTAATTAGTTACCAATAGTCATGATTCCAAAAGTTCCGTATTCTCATTCATTGCTTCGAGAGTATTTACTGAGTAACTACACTTTGTCAGACAACTATCTGAAATCTGATTACGTAACTTGAAGGTTTTAGGCATGAGTGTGTGTGTGGGGGGAGGGGGTGGGGGTGGGGGTGTAGAATAGATCATGAAAGACAAATGCAAGACGGTATACATGTGTAGACCCCTCTTCATTTGATGACCCACTTTTCAGGATCCTTGCTTCACAGGAAGGTGGGCCGGGCGTTCTTCATCAGAGCTCCGTCCTTTAAGGAGAGAGAAAACCTGGAACAAGAGGCACGCACTTCACAACCCCTGCCAGTGTTGAGAGCACTGATTTGCTTTCAGCCAAAGGCTGGTTTGCCTGCGTTCCCTTGGATCCGACGCTGCGTTCTAAAAACACGTGACGTAAGCCCTTAGAAAGCTTGTGTGGAGAGGAAGTGGATGTTTTGAAGCAGGGACCCTCTGCTCCCATGACTCAAGGCACAGAGGCGGCTGGCTTCACCTGCTGGAGTCAGGGTGAGCATTGAGATCAACAGCCTGGAAGGGCTTCATCGTCCTGAGGAGACCCGAGGTTGTATTCCTGACACGAAAGTCGCACCGGCAGATCCACCTCGCTTAATGCAAAGTCATTTTTAATGCCACGACGTGTGTCTATGACTCCGATCACTTAAAGATGCAGTTGTCCCTTGTTTGTGCAAGATCCCCTGCACCCGGCTTGATGATTAACTGAAAACATTTCAACCAGGTTCAACGGCTCGTCTCGGGGGCTCTAAGACCTCAGGTCTCGCAGGTGGCGGTTGCACCACTTTCCTAACCAATGGCCTTTTGGTGAGTGACGGGGATTTGATTCCATCAGGTTCTCTCCCCGCACCCCGCCCTGATTTCCCTTGGAATTCTGGGTCACTCAGGGATCCACTTTGCTGTTGTTTAACAAGCAAAGCTCCAGCACACCGACGCATAAATCTTACACTTAATGCATCGCCATTCCAAGCAATGAACTGAGATTTCTGCAAATGTGTCCCCTCGCTCATCAGCCAGATATCTTTCCCAGCTGTAATGTGTGTCGGGTGTTGCTATAGTCTACGCTGTGTGTGGTGATCCAAAGAGTGTAGTCTGAGAAGGCCTTCACCCTGGCAGGCGGCGGGACATCCATCCATCCCCCCACAGCACCCAGGGGCTGCTACGGGCGGGGCCTCGGGCCGTCATACCCCGTGAGAAGTCACACAGAAGCCCCGATCTACGCTAAGCCCTTCTGCTCCTCAAGGCGAGGGGGACATTTTTGTGCATCCCGACTTTGGGAGGGAAGTCATGCCTGCCGCCTTACTCTGAGTTCTCCAATCCTTCGTGATTTTGATTGATGGGTGGCCCAAGCTAAGATAACACCCTTTTGGGGTTTTTGTAGAAGATGGAAAAACTCCATGAGCTGGGGCAGGAGCAGATGGCAGCCACAGCTGTCATGGGGAGCCTCCTTTCTCTGGGAAGGAAGGCACAGTCCAGGACTTGTGGCCATAGAGCCCCAGGCGGGCTCCTGGGTGTGCACGGGGCACAGGCGAGGGGCTGCTCTGAGCAGAGCGGGACAGAGTGGGGTCCAGGACTCTCACACAATATTCTCTCAAAGGCTGTTTGCTAGGGACAGGCCCTTGCTCAGACAGTTCATCTGCATTTCCAAATGAAAGAGAAAGGACACACTGACATACAGTCGAACAAGTTAAGAGCAAGATTTTCCTTATCTTCCGAAAAAAAATAAAGTTCAGATATTTGTTTTTAAGAAGTAGGGATTTTTATGTATAGAATCATCCAAGAATAAAATATTTTCAATGTGTGTGGCCCTGATTGTGTTAAAGAAGCTATTATTCAACTAGGACATAAAACCTCCCCCCCGTGAAGGCCCCCTTGTCTGAGTGTTTGGGACACAAAGGAGCAGCTACTGAAGGAGCAAGAGCAGAGTCAAGGCCAGGGCCAAACCCCCGGGCAGGTGCCGCGGGGCCGCGCTGGCCGGGCTCTTCAGCATGCACATCACCCGGGACCAGGACCCGTTATTGGGCAGCGGGGCGATGCCGGCCGCATGGCACATGACGTTGTAGACATCCACGGAGCGGATCGGGGCGGCCCTGAAGTTGGATTTGAAATCTGAAAGACACAGGCGAGCAAATAAGTTATCACAGTCAGTGACCGGGCAGAGAGGGGTGCGTCCCCGTGTGGAGGGATCACAATGGAGCTCCAGGTGGCTTTGGGATTGCAACGCCAGCTCTGTCCGTGGGGCGTGGAGTATGCGGAAGGCCACGGGTTGTGAAAGGAAGTGACTTTCTATGGCTCCTGGAGCTGAGTTCCTTTGAGAGACAAATCCCTGCCCAGCTGACCTTGAGCGTAACTGTGCTCCGTGTACCCGCCGAGCTGTCTTCCTGGGAGGCAGAGGGCCACCTGCAGCTGCTCCTTCCTGCAGAGCGCTGAGCGCAGCTGTGGCCAGAAGCTCAGCTGTCCTGCTGGGCTTGCCAAACCCCGCTAAAGGCATTCTTATCTTTCCTGACACCTATCTAGCAGGCACTGGTTGGCCAGGGCGCCAATTTCTACTGAAGAGATCCCATGGCAACTCAACGATACAGCATCGGCCCATGGACCAAAGGGCTGTGGCATCAATTCCGGGTCAAGGGCACATACCTTGGTTGGGGGTTTGATCCCCAGTCCCAGTCAGGGCACATGGGGGAGGCGACCAATCGATGTGTCTCTCTCATGTCAGTATTTCTCTCCCTCTCTCCCCCTCATCCCTCCCTTCCACTCTGTCTGAAAATCTGTGGAAAAAATATCCTTGGGCCCTAACTGGTTTGGCTCAGTGGATAGAGCGTTGCACTGCAGACTGGGGGGTCCCAGGTTTGATTCCAGTCAAGGGAAGGTACCTTGGTTGCAGGCACATCCTCAGTGGGGAGTGTGCAGGAGGCAGCTGAATCGATGTTTCTCTCTCATCGATGTTTCTGACTCTCTATCCCTCTCTCTCCCTTCCTCTCTGTAAAATATCAATAAAATATATATTAAAAAAATATCCATGGGTGAGGATTAAAAAAAAAAAAAAAGAATGTCTCTCCACTTCCCAGAGGGCCCAGGGCCGGATGGAACGTGGACCGTACAGCCTCCTGGAGCTGGAACTCAGAGCAGCAGCGATGGCTTCCTGATTGCATCCAGAGGACCACCGGAGCCTTCCCTGGAGCCTTTCGCTGGCGGATAAAGTAGCTCGGCTTCGTGAGGAAAAGCAACCTGGGGCTGGGGTTACAGAGCCGGGAAGGGGCCGGGGGTCTGATGGCAGGCTGTGCTTCCAGAAAGCCAGATGCTGCCCCGAACTCCAGCGGGGACACAGGCCCGAGAAGGGTGGGGCTGGCCCTTCACAGCATCCTAGGTGAGGGGGCCGAAGGAGGGATGTCAATCCAGAGCGCCCTCCTCCTTCCCCCCGGGGGGCAATAAGATGCTGACTGCCAGGTGCTGGTCTGCTTAAGAGCCAATGGAGGAGTTTGGCAATAATGTCCACAAGCAGTGTCGCTTTTAGGCCCCAAAACAGAGCTTCCAACAAAATGCCCAAAGCTGCACTGGGGTTGAACTGAGGAGGGAGATCTTATCCATCAATACAGCCTGGGCACGGCCTTTCAGATGTTTAAGGAAGTGGGGGGCTGGAGGGCTGTGCCCTGTATAGCTGCTTTGCTAACATGGGCCCAGATGCTTGATTGAAAAAGCAAACAGACCCAACAGCAACTTTCAGCTCTTGTGTCCACCCTGAGGTTACCGATGTGGAAGAAAGTTACGTACAGAAAACTCTGCCACCGAGCACGTCAGATCCGGAGCAAGGATGGGCTGGACACAGCCTGCAGCCACTCCCAGCTGGGTGACCTCGGGGGACGGGCAGGGAAATGGTGCCTCATCATAGCTCCAGGCACGTTGTATGTGCTCGATGCGTGGTAGCTGGTGCTATGAACAGGCATGTGGAATAGATGCCCAGCGAGGGCAAACGATGGATAGAAAGCAGTCCATACAGCCTCTGGAGGGCTCACTTTACTTTTGAGCAGGGAAGCTAAAAAGTCAGCATCATCTCGGGGGACACATAGTTTTTTAAAAAATCCAGAACCTCCCGGGAGAGGCGAGCGTAAGGCTGCCCCGGGATGCCACCCTTCTTACTATCAAGGCAAGTTGTACACATAAATGCAGGTGGTGGCTGTACTTCCCCAGAGATGACCCCTCTGCAGCCAGAGGAATCAATGGAAAGGTCGCCCCAGTGATGGGAAAGCAAGTCCTCTCCCTCCTGCTGACCTGCCGTGAGCCTGGGTGTGCTGATCACACTGCCCCATCCCGTGGGGGCCACGCCCTTGCCGTGTGTGTGGGCGGGCCTTTCAAACACCCACGTCTTTAACTCTTGACGGAAACATTGAGATAAACTCTGCAGACAGAAGTGTTGGAGATAGAGCATCCTTTTACATTCAAAGTACAAAATCAAATCCTGTGCCCGTAAGCAGGAAGGAGAACTGGGTTTCCTTTCCTGTTCCACCGGGGTCATGGCTTCCTGTTCTGCAGGGCTGGGACTTGGGGCCCAATGCAGACATGGTTCAGGCTGGAATGGGAGCTTCTGGAAAATTCCTGAAGAGCAAAACCATACCCCACCCAATTTGTGAGGACTCCGCCAAAGCTCTGCTAGCTCCACATGGCATTCTGAACCGGCCTGGGAATCTGAGGCATTCCCAGGGGTTGACATTTTTCAGATATAAAGACTGTTTCTCTCAAAGCAAGAAGGTTCTCGGGCTCCAGAGGTGCCTGCAACCTAGGGCTGTTCTCTGAGTCCGCTCACAGCTCACTCAATCATAGGCCTGCTGTCTTGGGAGTTCTCTGGGGCCGGATTAGGTGGTTCAGATTAGAAGCTGGGATTAACCAGAGACAGGCTACCTTCCTGACTGATTTCCCTCTCTCTTAGCTGGGCCAGACTCCCTGACTTCCAACCCTGCATGCGGGCAGCCACAAGGATGCCCGGCCTCCTCCCTAAGTGAGAGGCACCTACAATTAATCAGCAGGGATGTGCCTTTATCTCAAAGTGCAGCGAGAGAGCTATTAATGGCCTTGCTCTTAAATTGTCTTCTGAGTAAACAGCCCGTGTGTAAAGCTGTTCAATCTTTCATGAGAAGCGGAGATGGGACGGTTGGCGGGGGCTCTCCCGGCTCTATCTGCCTGGGAACATTTTTGCAATGAGCCCCGGCGGTTTGCATCAGGGGTCGTCTTTCGGTCTATAAAAGACTCAGGCTTTTAGTAGTCAAGGAGCCCCGGATGGAGGCCTTCGCTAATGGACAGAATCTCCCCCACCAAACTCAACCCGAAGCTAATGCAGCTTTTGGTATGTTGTTTAACATTTTTGGTTTGCTTCTGCTTTAAAATATGCCCGGGCCTTGCTCATAAACACTCCTTCAACTGACAACTGTTTTGCATTCGTGATCTTTTTTTCTCTCTGGGGAAGAGGGAGGTGGTGGTTTTGAACGAAAGCCCGGCTGTCTGGTGCTCTCCCGTATAAAGGCTGTGGCCCTGGAGTGTCTCCAGCCTAATCTAGCCGTTGACCTCCAAGGAGTCCTCGGGGTCTCATCACTCATTCATCCAGCTCTGAGCTGCCTGGATCTGGCAGGGGCCGGGCTGACAGGGAGCACCTGAGAGCTATTACTGGTTGACGGCAACATGCTAGACACCCTCTGCATGCCCCCGCCCCCCAACCCCGGGCCCAGGTCCTGACCCGGTCAGGGCTCCATAAATGCTTGCTGCTACTGTTTCTGACTCTCCCTTCAGCATCGGGAACTTGGATCACACGTGGGAAAGGTTGCGGACCCATGTGTTCCCCAAGCTCAGGTTGCTAGAGGTGCCCTCGGAGGGTGCAGACACTGACACTTCGGGTTCTCAGCACCTGTGGGGGGGTAAGGGGAGTGAGCCACGGCAGCGGGTGGATACTCGTCTTTGTCTTGCTGCATCGGGAAGAAGAGCGGGGCTTCCAGGAGTAATCTCTAGCTTCTACTTTGATAGGAAAGCGTGGATTTCATGGATGGAAGCATTTTGATCAACATCCAGAAAGGGGCATTTGGGATGTGGGTATGAGGGTCGGTTGGGTGTATTTAACCAGGAAGGGGGGGCGGGCAGTAGCGGGAAAGAGAATAGCTCATGAGCCAGTCAACTGACTGGTAGGGGCTGTTGAATGCTCTTTATCTTAATTATTATTATTATTATTATTATTATTACTATTTTAATCCTCACCAGAGGATATTTTTCCATTAATTTTTAGAGAGAGTGGAAGAGAGAGGGAAAGACAGAGAAACACTGATGTGAGAGAGACATATTGATTGATTGCCTCCTGCATGGCAGGGCCTGGGCCGGGGAGGAGCTTGCAACCATGGTACGTGCCCTTGACCAGAATCGAACCAGGGACCCTTCAGACTGCAGGCCGATGCTCTATCCACTGAGCCAAACTGGCTAGACTATCCTAATTTTTTTTTTTTAAAGAAGGGGGTGTCAGGTAGTAGTATGATCCTCAGAGTGTTGATAAACTTTTGCAAAATGTGAATTTTCGGTGCTCTAAATAATGAAAGCAAATGCCCAAATAGGCCCTCGTCACCCCTGCTCTCTGCCCGCCTTAGAATTCATCTGGTTGAGGAAGGTACAGTACATTTGCTTTCATCCAAGACCCCCCTCGTCATCCTGGCTGACTCTCAAAGTCAGCCTCCGGGTCGTTTCCGAGGCTGCCGTGGAGCGCAGGCCGGCTTCTGCTTGCCCTAAACGAGTGACCCCCGCAGGGCTGGGTGCCCTCGACAAGGAAGAAGTGTGGCGAGCCAGGCCGGGGAGCAACCACGCCAGCGCTGAAACTCGCAGCTGTCAGCACGCCGGCGTCCGGTAAGCGTTCCCGGACATCGGATGGCTGTGAAATCACATTCTGATGAATTAAGTGAAAAATGAATCGCAAACATGTGGAACACATTTTCCGGGCTGCACTCAAGGTTTAAAATTTACAAGGAAAACTATTCGGCCACATTTGCCAAACCCAAGAAGCATTTGAAAGCGAGCCAGCGAGAGATGTTTCACGGAGGCCGGCTGGGTTTGCTCAGCGTGGCTCATAAAGCAATCGGCCAGCCTGCCCTCCGCCACGAGCCCCCAGGGACGCGGCCTTGGGAACGGATGACGGAGAGAACCCTGCCGTTTCCCCGCCTACCGGGTCCGAAGGCCAGGAAGATGCCCCTCATGTCCATGAGCTCGTTGTCGTATCCGTGCCATCCGCGCTGCCAGCCTGCCCTCTTGCCGGTGCTGTTCATCCAGAACGGAAGCAGCTCTCGACTCTGAAACCAACAAGGCAGTTACTTCCCGGGTCCCGACACCGTGGGCAGTGAGCACCTGGCCCCGACCACCGCCCAGCACCGTGGGACTGCCTTCTCAGCATCGGGTCATCCGCTCGGATCACTCCCTACCCCGGGAGCTCAGTCCCTGGAGGCAGCCCACTCCCGCTCTAGTCATGCAGGTGTTCTCTCCCTCAGAGCTGAACTGTACCCTGCACCTCGTAATCAGATTTTGTTGTTGTTGTTGTTTTTTATTAATCCTCTCCCGGGGATATTTTTCCATTGATTTTTAGAGAGAGTGGAAGGGAGGGGGAGAGACACAGAGAGAGGCACATGGATTGGTTGCCTCCCACAGGAGCCCTGACCAGGGCCGGGATCCAGCCTGCAACCAAGGTACGTGCCCTTGCCCAGAATAGAACCCGGGACCCTTCAGTCTGCGGCCGACGCTCCATCCCCTGAGCCAAACCGGCCGGGGCCATAATCAGTTTTAGAACCACTAAATATAGCACGTTTTCGACCGAGGGGATGATCACATGTTCCTGCGGGATAATAGAAAGTACATTTGGCCCTCACCCCCGGTCCCTGGCACAGAGCTCCTGACACCCTTGGACGTTCCTGAGTGACAGGATCTTTGTGCTATTCATAGGCAGCCCCTTGCTCCCTCACCTGAGTTTGGGCTAATGGCCTGACCTTGGGGGAGGGACTAGTTGTTTCAGGAGGGACCAGCCCTGTGAGGAGAGGGTTAGACTTGTGGAGGTCAGCCATGTGGCCACTGCTTTCATCACCCCTGCCAACACAGCGACACCCCGTATGAAACCCGGGTACCACATGATGAAACCCGGGTACCACATGGTCCAGGAGCTTCTGACTGACTCATTGGTGTGCTGGGAGGGTTCCCCCAACAGGAACGAGCATGCTCTGCACCCCTCCCCCCAAGAGGCGTATTTCCGAGTTGTATCCTTTAGAACAAAACTGTAATCATAAGTACAGCACCTTTCTGGGTTCTGAGCTTCATTCCAGTGACTTATCAAACTGGGAGGGGGTTGTGAGAATCCTCACATTGTAGCCAATGAGATACAAGTACGTGTAGGCTGGGGACCCTGGACTCTGGCTGCCATCTGAAGGGGGACAGGCTTGTGGGACCGAGCCCTTCAGGTGAGGTGGCTGCTCTTAACTCGGGACAGTAAGTACCAGCATTGAACTGAATTGCGGGACACCCAATTGCTGTCAGAATTACTGGGAAACACGGCATCTAATCTAATCATCTCGCTTTTCTCGCAAAGCCCTTGGAGCCCAGAGGTGGTCCACTCTGACCATTTGGTGCACCTTCCGCCATCCGCACTGCCCTGTCCTGCCTTCCTCTGGCTCCACCCTCCGGAGCAGCTCAGAATCTCAGCCCCTCCTCTCCATGCAGTGACACGTTCGAAGAGGGCACTCACGCTCCTCTTACCCTGGCATCGTAATCTTCATGCCCCCCACTGGGGATGGGTTCCAGGACCACCTTCCCCTGAAACCCTTCTTCCCTCCAGAACTACATCTTCTTCTCCTGCAGGTGCTTCCTTGTGAGACAAAAGGCGTGAAGGTGAGTCCTGAGGAGGTCGGAGCCAGGCGGACACACTGAGCCCTTCATGGTCCACTGGATACTCATTCCTGGGAGCCCAGCCATCCTCTTACTAAGCAAGTACAATATCCCAGAAAGTTCAAACGCAGGAGGTAGAATTGGCTGGTTGTGGTGAGAGAGAAGAAGTAAAACAGCTCACATACCAGCAATGCACAGGCCGGCGCACAAGACTATGAGTCCCATGTAGTCAGCGTGCCATGCGGTTCACCAAGAGCCAACACTGCCATTCACCAAATCACCACAGCATCCCAGCAGGGATGGTATGTCCCTACTCTGTAGTTGAAGAAACCAAGGCACACACGGCAAGGTGAACGGCTGTTCTTCAAGCTGCGAGAGGCAGGGCTGGGACTGAAACCCAGGTCACCTGTCTCCCGTCCTTACGCACCTTTCACTGACCACGGCCAGAGGTCCCTGAGCGCTCCTGCAGGCCCTGGACGTGAGGCCCTCTCTGTCCCTTGCCTCCTCACTCCCCGGAGTGGCGGCCAGTTATAAAGTAGAGAGAGAGACTTTGGAACTGGTGGCCATGGGTTAAGTCTCACCTTGCCACTTCCTAGCCCCGTGATCCACCTGAGGCTCAGGTTCCCTGTGGAGCCATCACATCTGCCTCGAGAGTGTTTGGAGGATGACATGACTGCGTGCTCAGTGCCTGACACACAGTAGGTGCTCACTGAATGTCTGCGGCCGGTCCCAGATGCACGGGCTGTGGGGCCAGGCGCTCTGGCCATGCCGGCCGGGCAGGGGTGGCGGTGTGGCCTGAGCTTGCCTCTGAGTATTTAGCTGTCAGATCGCATTGCACACCATCCCCTCTCAGCCCATAAATCGCCCCTGGCATGACTGCTTGCCAAATGGCACTACTTCACTGCCTCTCGGTTTCCTGAATCTCCGTCACCCCTGTCCCTCCTCCGGCTGCAGCTCGTGTTTTTCCATGGGAATGCTTTCATTCACGTATTGCATTTCTGACTTGCTAGACTGTTGGTGTTCCTTATCTGTCAGATCCTGATCTGATGATCAGGATGTGCCCCAGTTTAGTTTCGTCACAGTCAGGGGGCCTCGATTCCTGGACGCCAGGTAGGACACTGGGTTGCTATCGACTTCCCCGGTTATGAGCCCCACAGGACACAAGGACCCCGAGACAGAGGCACGGGGGAAAGGGAGACGGAGACCAATGACCCGATTAAAAAATTCCAGTCGAGCCCTGACCGGTTTGGCTCAGTGGATAGAGCGTCGGCCTGCGGAATGAAGGGTCCCAGGTTCGATTCCGGTCAAGGGCATGTACCTTGGTTACGGGCACATCCCCAGTGGGAGGTGTGCAGGAGGCAGCTGATTGATGTTTCTCTCTCATCAATGTTTCTAACTCTCTATCCCTCTCCCTTCCTCTCTGTAAAAAATCAATAAAATATATTTTAAAAAAATTCCAGTCGAAATTCCACAAATACAAACACACCGGGTCACAGGGAAACCCACCAGTTTCTATGACAGTGACAATCCGCTCCAGGGACCACTGTTCTCACTGACTTTCAAAAGCAGTGATAACCCGGCTGCTTCTGCGAGAAGCTGGCCATTCCTGTAAGTGACCGGATGGAATGTGTGACGTGAATGAAGGATTGTTGCTCCTCCTTCCCACCGAGAGGCTTTCCCCGTCGTCACACGGTTCCTACATTCCCCTCCCGGTGCTCGCGGTGGAGGCAGCTCTAGCAAGGTGTGGCTCACAGACCGGCTCCAGAGCGCGAACCCCCGGGCTGCCCATCCGCCAGCTGCCGGTCAAGGAGCCTGACCCCCCACCTGGTGACATCCTAGGGAGGTGCCCAGACTCTTCCGATTTGGCCAAAGGTGAGATGGGGTAGGACTGGGGTGTGTGTGTGTGTGTAGCCATGGGAACTCAGAGGCCACACGGGAAGCTCTTATAAAAAAATAATTGTTGGGTACGGAGGTCCCCCAGCATCGGGACCCTTGGGAACAGTTAGGTTGAGGCCCCTTGAGACAGGGAGGGCTGTGTGAGCTCGCCTGGGAAAAGCCACAGACGAAGGCAGCCGACAGATCAGGCTGCTGGAAGGAGCGAGAGCAATGGAGAGTCTTCTGCTCCCGGTGCCGGCCTGAGGCCATGCCAATCAAGTCCGGTGACCCGAATCCGGTCAGGTTAGGATAGATAAAAGGTGAGCACTGACCTAGGTGTGTGAGGGGCCTGGGGGAGTGGTTTCCCTTACGGACCACTGTCTCAGAGTCTGCGGCACTGCCATTCTACGGGCTCTCCCGAGAGGCCCCCTGTTGGCGAGGTTCCTCAGGGCCCTGTGGGTGGTGGCTATGAGCCTTCAGATGTGTGTTTGCCACAGGCCACTGCAAGGAGATGTCCCTCTGCCTGTCTCTCTGTCCCTGTCTCAGATGGCGCCCTCTTTCTAAAGGAGAACAAATGGCACAGGCTCTGGCCCTGGTCTGTCCTGGGAAGCCCGGGGCCACACACAGCCTAATCCTGGAAATGAGAAACGCCAGACAGGGAAGCCAGCGGGTGGAGAGGAACCAAGCTCCCTAGGGGAGGGGGGAGGGAGGGTGTGGATGGGGTTTCTCTCCGCACGCCCCCTCCCCCCCATCATGTTTATTGACGTGTGACAGGGGTGCAGAGGGCAGGCCTGTGTGCTCAGACGGCTGACACAGACGACCCTCGTCGCCACCAGAAAGCCAGCAGCTCCCAGCACTCAACACCCGCTTCCGGGAGCTCAATTATCCAGGCCTGCACAACGCCACTCCGGCTGCCACTGCCTCCCAGATCGTCTTGATTTCCCCCGTGTTCTGGGCCTAACTGCCCTTCATCCTTGGGCCTTAGAATTGAACCTGGCATTGCACACCCTCTGCCAGTTTTCAAAGTAAATCTTTCCTCTGGTGACGCGTCCTGGCCTCCCTGAGACGCGCGGCCTGAATTCACTGCATTTCCCTCGGCTCCAAGGGTCAACCATGAGACACTGTGTTTCATGGTCTTTCACCAGGTCTGGCAACATCTGGCACCTTCTTAACCTGCCAGGCGGGGAAGGGGGGTGTGAAGAGGCCGCAGGAATCAGCCCAGGGAGCTGGGAGGGACCGGATAGGCGCCCTGCGCCTCGGCTCCCGCTGTGGCTAACGGGAGCAGGAGAGTTCCCGTGGCGCTTTCAACGCCTGCTCCCCATTGCAATCTCGCTGGGCTACTAACAGTGATCTAAGTCAAAGGCCTGACTTAACTCCTCAGTTTACTTGGCTTCGGATTTACAAGCCTCCCAAGTGAACACCCTGCCGACCCAAGAACCAACCGTCTCCACATTCAATTCATCTCCTTCGGATTGAAGAAGTCAGTCCTCGGCCTTGGCCGTGTTCTCATTCCCGTGGAGGAAAACGGAAGGTCAAGGTGCCACAGACCTGACCTCAAGAGCTTCCACTCCAGGAAGCCAGAGAACAAAAGCTGGCAAACCCACATAGCAGCTGGGGCGTGGCCAGGGCGTCATGGGAACTCCAGGGAGAGGATGTTTGGGATGAGCTGGGTGCTTCATGGAAGAGATGGAATTTGAGTTGGGCTAAAGGACAGGTGGGACTCAGCAGAGGGCCCTCCAGGGACTGTACTGACTGTTCATTGGGATGATGATGTTGCCAGGACCTCTGAGGTGAGGGCAGGCCTGGGGTTGGGGGCCGGGGGTGGGGGCAGAAAGCAAGCTTGGGGGGCTGTGCGGGGCGGGTGGGAGCTAGGTCAGCAGTCGCACTGGGAAGCTGTGCGGTGCTGAGGGACAAATTAAATCTGCTTCCCCATCTGTATCTTTTTCAGTGACAGCACTCTAAGCCAGCGGTCGCCAACCTTCCGGACCTCACGGACCACCCGTGGTCCACAGACCACAGGCTGGCGACCGCTGCTCTAAGTGACCATTAAAAAAAACAGACTCTGTTAAGTCTTCCTGTTAGAGCAGCCACCTGCTTCGAGTCTGCAAAACTTAAACCGGTGGCAAAAAGTTGGTATTTATACGGGAAAGGCGTTTGTGCCAAGGAAGCAAAATCATGCATGTTTGCGGCATGCGGCTGCAGGGAGCAAGGGAGAGGGATTCTATTTTATTGGCCCCCAACCAGCATCGATTTGTCCTGACTCGGCCGTTTTCCCGATTACGGCTAAACCAGCAAGAAGATTCCCCTGCCACGGACACTGGACCCACAGGCCTGAGAAGCCGGGCTAAGGAATGAGAGGGGGTGAGCTGTGCATTAACCCTCCTTGATTACTTGCTTTTAAACACTCAAACGAAATTCTAGAGTTTTCTAACTTGGAAAGTGTCCAGCCCAAGACCTTTTGCGTGACTCAGGAAGCTGGCTCCATGGGGTCAATGGGCTCACCTACTAGACCGCCTGTGTGTTCGACGCGCAGCCCTGGGAAACCCACTCCAGTGAAGCTGCTGGGGCCTCGGGCAATCTCACTCCAGGGAGCTCCAAACTGTGAGCAAGCGGAGAGAAGCACTTGGTTCTTAGAGGAGAGAGAGTTTGAAACGACAAGACGAGGGAAGGCCAGTCTGTGGAGGGCCCCGCTTGGCCTGGGACCGCACAGCTGGCATATGGGACCACGTCTGCTCCGTTTCCTGGTGACCAGGTGCTTTCTGTCTGCGAGCGCACAGGGATGACTCAGTCCTCCTGGGTGACAGTTCCCGGTTCGGGAACCCCACTGTTCCGCACCCAGGCCCCACGTCCGCTCGTTAGTGTGATCAGTATTGCAGATCACCACCCGAGGTCTTTCTGGCAGCTAAAATACTAGTCATAGGCCTGCCCCTTTGGTGGCCTCGCTACCACTCCCTCTGAAAGCCAATAGGAAAAATATCCTCAGGTGAGGATTAACAAAAAATAAATAAACAAATAGAAGTCACCCGACCAAGCCTCTTGAGTCTCTAAAGAAGGAAATAGTGTAATGAACGACACCTAAGTGAAAACAAAATCTTTTCCGTGTAAAGGCTGAAGAGCTAGTACCTGTGGTTGTTTGGCAGCATTTGCCTAATGCATAAGTTGTCGCATATTTTCTAATTACCTCAGTTATGAACCATCCTTCATCCGCCAGTAAGGTCAGTGGAGAGACAAACTTCCCTTTCTTGTAGTAGAACCTGCTGGGTATGGCTTCCTTCTCGTAGACAGTCATGTGCTCCACTGTCCGCAGCTTGTTGTATATCTGCAGAGAAAACCAGGGGTGACTGGGGTTGCATCCTCTTTGTCACACGAATGTGAATCTTTAATGCACCTGGAGGAGAGGGAGGACTTTATAAGACTAAAAAGAAAAAGAAAAGAGAAATTCCTCAAACAGCTGATAGACTTGACTCCGTAAAAAAGAGAAACTTCTGTATGTCTCAGAAGACAAGGAGGTTTACCTAGTGAGGCTGGAGATCCACATGCCCGTGACCCAGGGGTAAGCGAGAACCCTGGTACATGTGCGCCTGCAGGTCTGTGAAGGGATACGTACTGCAAACTGGAGCAGCCCGAAAGCCTAGCAACAGTGGGATACCTGGATCGAGGGGTAAACGGCAGTGGAATATTATATAGCAACAAAGAGGAAGGGATTATAGCTACACAGAACACCTGAATTTCAGTCTGAGACACACACACACACAGCACATTGCAGAAGAACACAGACAAGCGTTTTCCTATTATAGAAAGTTCAAGTAACTACAAAAACTAATGACCATATTTGGTAAAACGATAAAGAGAATTAGGGAAACGATCACTCGGAATTTAGGACAGTGGCTTTCTCTGAGGTGGCTGCACGGGTGATGGGGTCTGAGAAGGGCACACAGGAGTTACTACAGGTAACGATACTGTGTGTTTCTCGGTATATTGAATATAAGGTGCCGTCATAACAGTATCCTTTACACTTTACACATATTTTATAATAATTTTTGGCATCTACTGAATAATAAATGAACAAACTACAAAAGTGTATTTATGTCAAAAAGGCTAAAATAAAATTAAAGAGAGAATGAGAAATTGGATCCCACCACGACCAAAGGAAGGATCTGTTCTTTGACTTGACCTAGAGCACGTCCTACCTCCACTCGCATCTGAAAAGTGCCAGTTGTCCGCCACTAATTACACTGCGAGTTCCCTGATGACGTGTAAACTCTGTACGCGTGTCCCACATCCAGCAGCAGCTTAACATGTTCCTGGCTAAAACGAAAACCCACTGGCTGACGCTGAGGAACTGACGGCAAACTGGAGTTTATCTACTTGCCTCTGAAATTAATTAGTCCTCAGGCTGTCTGGCAGAGAGTTTCCGATGGCCCCCGTGTGTCGTGATTTCCTACTTCAGAAAGCCCACACATGCCCTAACCGGTTTGGCTGAGCGGATAGAGCGTCGGCCTGCGGACTGAAGGGTCCCAGGTTCGATTCCGGTCAAGGGCATGTACCTTGGTTGCGGGCACATCCCCAGTGGGGAGTGTGCAGGAGGCAGCTGACCGATATTTCTCTCTCATTGATGTTTCTAACTCTCTATCCCTCTCCCTTCCTCTATGTAAAAAATCAATAAAATATATTTTAAAAAAAGAAAAGAAAAAAAATAAAATAATAACAAAAAAGGAAAAAAAAAAAAAAGAAAGCCCACACTTTGGGGAAGTGGGTGCATGTGCAGGAAGCCTTTGGAGAAGGGAAACATCCAAGGACACATCGCAGGCCTCACATGGTCGTGTCCATCACATGACAGACTGTCACCCAAACACGCCCCCCTTGTGAATAATCTACCACCTGCGTGAGGCAGCTGGCAGCCGCCTGGTCGGGAGGAGCGCTTCCCACTCGCGAGCGGCCCCCGCCTAAGTGTCCTGGAAGTGGCGCCTCCCTAAGGGCCAAGTTGGAGGTGCGGGCGGGCGAGCTGCCTGCCAGGGGAACCGGCCCTCTCTGTCTCCGCAAGAAGCAGTCACTGTGGCACCCGCCCCTGCGTGAGAAATTCTCCCCGTTTCGTGTTGAGGGTGCTCATGGGACATTGTGCAAACACGCCTTCCCCTCCTGAGAAAAAGGCCTGTCCGCCGGGGGAGGGGCAGTGCTGGGTCGGGTGGGCTGTTGGCCACTGGTCCCTCAGCCCCACACTGACAGCTCTCAGACTCTTCGATGGGGTGGGCGGGGTGGGGAGAGGGGTCTCTGGGCCAAAGAGAAGAGGCCGCAGTCCACCCCTGCGCTCCATCAACACCAACAACCTCTCAGCACCCGTTGGCAGTGTTTCCTGCTGTGAGCATGAGGGAGGCACCAGGCCCGCCATGGCCCACTCCTGGCACCCCACGGCGGGCTCCCCCACAGGCTGCAGCTGGGCCTCCCCGAGGAAGGCGCTCGTCCTGGCCCAGAGCAGCTTCTCTGGAGCCAGCAGGAGCCCTGAAGCCTGCACTGGGAGGCGGCCAGGCCATGTGGGGCCGAGAGGTCACCCAACAGTGCCACCTGCTCCTCCTCATTTTCTCAGGGTGACTCAGCACCAGGTTCTCCGGATGTAATCGGTGTTGGGGAGAAGGGTAGGCAGAGGCCTGTTATCTCAGGGTGCCGGGTCCCCGGAGGGCAGTGACGGGGGGAGCGAGCATGGAGCCACATCTGCACATGTGGGAGCTCAGCCTCACCCTCGTGGGAGCACCCCCCTTGGATGGTGGTGATCACAGCCTCACCCTCATGGGAGCACCCCCCGGATGGTGGTGATCACAGCCTCACCTCTCGGGAGCACCCCCTTGGATGGTGGTGATCACAGCCTCACCCTCATGGGAGCACCCCCTGGATGGTGGTGATCACAGCCTCACCCTCATGGGAGCACCCCCTGGATGGTGGTGATCACAGCCTCACCCTTGCAGGAGCACCCCCCTTGGATGGTGGTGATCACAGCCTCACCCTTGCAGGAGCACCCCCCTTGGATGGTGGTGATCACAGTGAGTGACACGTGCATTGTCCTTGCAGCGGCCAGCATGCCCCTGTGCTTCCAGCAGCCCCGGACGGAAGCTGCGCTGGGTGGACAGAGGGGCCTGGTTGGGAATATGCTGGGTTATGACGGAGCTGGAGGAGACCCAGCAGAGTGGATCCTGTGCTAAGGAGCTGACCCACAGCGCACACGGCCTCAGCGGCTCATTCGCCTGCTTGTCTCCAGTTCCCTGAGGAACAGTCAGATGGGGCTGCTCCAGAGAAAGAGCATCTGCGTGTGCCTCCGACACTGCCCGGCAGGTGAGCACCGGGCCAGCACAGTGGGCCCATTACGGGCTAAACACTCAGCCTGCGAAGCACTGTGCATCCCTTCTCGCCTTCGGTTGCCACTGAAGTTCAGTGCGGTAGGTCCCCGCACGCCCATTTTAGAGAAGAGAAAACAGAGGCAGGGGAGGCTGAAACCGTGATGGAGGTCACCAGCTGCTGCAGGACAAAGATCAAGCACGAGTGGTGGCCGGGCTCTATCCCCTCCCCTCCCCTGTCCACCTCCCTCCCCGTCTTGTGCTCTTTGTGCTCTTGCCTCAGCGTGTTTCCCGGGAGCTGGCCAGAGGCTCACAAGGGGCCCGCGGTCCTTCACTTGCTGCAGGTCCCCCAGGCTGATGTGCTGCTTCAGCTCAATCACTTTGTCCTTCCAGAAGAT